CCTTGTCAATAACCTACATGTAACCCACGACCCTTCCCATCTTACCCCGTTCCTCTGACGGTTAACATCATCCTGAACCTGGTGTTCATCATTTCCTGGACTTCCTCTTCTTTCAGTTTTATTGCATCTATATATACTCCTAAAATTATACATTTAAAAGTTTTAGTCATTTTTTAGCATTATCAACATAGTATTAGCCTATAAATAGCCTCTTTGGTACTTAGTTTTTTTACTTAATATTCTATGGCTAAGGTTTACCTACTGTAGCTCTTACGTTTTGACTGATGTTAGTACTCCATTATGAAAATACCTCTCGGTGTATTCATTCATCCTTCCTCCAGCCTCTCCTAGTGACTTGCATCCGGTCCTTTCCAGGTTGGCTGTTGGGAGCATTGCAGACATGAGTACTCTTTTTCATATTCCCCTCTGTGCACGTGTAGGAATTTCTCTTGGGTATATACTTAGGAACCGAATTGCTGGGCCATGAGGTATATGAATGTTGGACTTCAGGAGGCAATGCCTCACTATTTTCCAAAGTGATTGCATCAGTTATATTCCCAACAGCCATATATGTGAGTATCTGTGAATCCATATCCTGGGAGCTTTTAAAAATATTTCCTCAGGCTTCACCACTTAGGAGATTTTGACTTAGTATGTCGGAATATGTGGAAAGCATAAAATTGACACTTAAAAAATCACCTCAAGATATTCTGATGATCGGCCAGGCTTGCAAAATACTACTATCCTAGAGTTTTTAGATTTGGGAAGACCTGGGACTAAATTTGGCTGCTTTGAACTTGAGCATATTCCAGACACAGATCTAGGCTCTTACTCTTTGACTTAAAAAAAAAAATGTCTTTATTGATTTCAGAGAGAGGAAGGGAGAAGGAGAGAGATATAGAAACATCACTGATTTGAGAGTCATTGATCTGCTGCCTCCTGCATGCCCCCTGCTGGGGATGGAGCCCACAACCTGGGCATGTGCCTTAACTGGGAAATGAACCTCGATCTCCTGGATCGTAGGTCGATGCTCAACCACTGAGCCATGCTGGCCAAACTCTTTAACTTGATTTTTAAAAAGTAGTTTTTGGCATATCCTTTAATACATTTTTATTAAATTTCTATCTCTGGTAATAAATTAAGTCTCTAATATTGTCAATAGGATAAATGGGAGATTAAAATTTAAAAGCAAAGTTTTGATTTGAGACAGTATGTTTTCCTGCAAGATAAAGTGTTTGCCTTGAGTAGCTGGACTGATGCAACATGGGAAGGGAGAGCTGGTCAAAGTGTCATTAGTCACTTCTTGCTTATAAAGTAAAAACATGTGTATGTGTATGTGTATGTGTATGTGTATGTGTATGTGTATGTGTATGTGTATGTGTATGTGTATGTGTATGTGTATGTGTATGATCATCTTTGGGTCAAGTCCTGTCTCTTGTGTTTGGCAGACCTAATGGACACAGTAACAGGGCCAAGCGAGGAGTTATTCACACCAGTTTTGGGCTCTCCAGTGACACCCCCTGGAATAACGGAGGAGGCGCCCAGCATCTCCCCAGCGCTCTCCGATCCTGAGGCATCCTCTGAGGCAGGAACCATTGTTCCATCTGTTGGCCATGTTAATATAGCTACCCCAAATGGCCTGGACCAACTCGAATCTGAAGGTATCTATGCTTTGAAGGGAATCTTTTCTAGGACTGATTGAATGAGTCACTGAGCAAATGTTGTTTTGAGAAAAGATTAAGGAGTGGATTTAATCTGCAATGTAGATCTGGAGTCAGTAAACTATGGCCCAGCCAGATCTGGCCTGCCATCTGTTTTTGTGTGGCCTGCAAGCTGAGAATGGTCTTTGCATTTTTAAATGATTGGGGGGGGAAAATTCAAAAGAAGAGTAATATTTTGTGACATGGAAAAGTTGTATAAAATTCAAATTTCAGTGTTCCTAAAGAAAACTGTATTGGAACACAGCCTCATGTGTTCATTTATGTAGTGTCTGTGGTGACTTCAGTGCCAGAGTAGCAATTGAGTGGTTGGGACAGACTAAATGCCCACATAGCCTAAAGTATTTACAGTAGGGCCCTTTACTGAAAAAACTTGCTGACACCTGGTCTAGATCAGTAGTTCTCAACTACATTTGACCATTATGATCATGTTGGGGGGTTTTAAAAAATCTCTAATGGCCTGACTCCTTCTGCCAGTCCTTCTGATTCAGTTCGTGTGCGATGAGATCTGGCATCAGCATTTTAAAAGAGTGCTTCAGATGAGTTCAATATGCAGTTGTATTGAGGATACTGGTTTACATGGAAAACTTGAGTTTCCCCACCTGATTTTCTTGGATGGAAGTTTTAGTGTGGATTGTATTTTCACAACACTGCTCTGGTTGCTCAGGTTGGGTCATTCTTTTATTCATAACATCTTTGGGTTAGGATATTTCACTATTTGGAGATAAACAGTCTCCTCATCTGTTAAGATCGAGAAATTCACGCCAAATTGTACTTCTAAGACACGGGGTTTGAGCATGGAAAAGATGCTTGGAGCAAAGCTGCACAAACAGGAAGCCTGGAAATATGACGAAAGGCCATTTCATTAATCAGCATTTGGCAGGTGACTAGCTCCTGGTTGGAGGTGCAGAATATGCAGAGATTTGTAGTGCTGAGTTTCTTAAACTAACCTGGGAGACAGGTAAGCTTTAGAACACTAAATTAGCCATGTGTTCGATGCAGTGAAGACATAGGATGTGCTGTTTGTTATTTTGTATTTCATCTACAGCAGGGAAGGTGGTCCAGCCAGGTTTGCAGCAGACTCTGTTGCAGACATTCAGGGTTGCACTGTAGTTTCCCGACAGAGAAACATGACATTTTAGGAGCAGTGTGGAGAATTCCACAGTAGAATGCTGCTTTAAGAAATGGATCAAAGCGAGCTCAGAGGCTAACAGCTCTTGCACTTCCCATTAAGATAAAAATCTTATGACTTTGAGTTCGGTCTCCCATTAACTGTCTGCTCTCAATGCCATCTGGAAAAAGCAGTTTCCCTCAAATTAACCTGAATTAGAGATGACAGCTTTACCCAGCAGGGCTCATTAAATCAGAGAAGAAAAATTATACTTGTGAATAATCCATACTTGAGAAACTGCGATAACTTTCTAAATTTAGTAGATGATGGCAGTTATATTGAAATGTGTGAGAATTTTCTTAACTTGTCTAAGGTATCCTGAAGTTTTAGTTTTTCTACACAATTCAATTTCAACTTCTTTTTGTGAATATATTTTGTCAGTTTTTGATCTCAATTATGATCCTTGTCAAGGCTTACTAGTGACATTCTTGGTTTGAAAATACTCTTTCTGCTGGGTTGTTGGATTTAAGATTTTGAATGAGCACATCTTTTCTCCTGAATACCAGGCAGTACAATTTGTGTTTCATTAGAATACATTAATACTTGCACAATTAGTTTTATGCTGGTGCATCTAATCCTCTGAAAGCTGAAGTGACTACACTTATTTGAACTCATAAACCTACTAGATTCCTGGATGCATGGGAGGCCTCCATTTTCTATGCGCGTTTTTTCATCTTGCCCAGGAATATAAGTAAAATAATTTTTGGACATGATCTCTGTATAGGTTGATAACCTTTTTTTTGTTGAATATTAATGTCTTTCTCTGTTCCAAAATGGTAAAGTGAAATTTCTAATTATTATGAAAACTTACTTGGAGTTTTTTCATTTGGGTTAACTGTCTGGTATAAGTATAAAAATATTTTAATACTTATGTCAAATGGACTAGGACTTTCAATATTTCTTACTCAAAGAAGTTCTGCTTTCTGTATTTTAGAAATCCAGCTGAGGATATCTATTTACTCTACATAAATCAAACTTAGTTTAGCCTTTCCTGTATTTCCACAGAAGATGTAAAATCATCTGTGCTGTAAAATTGTAACAATAATTCTGTGAGGTGTAAGGTTATTACTTCAATAATTTAATAATCATAAAAATATTTATTGTATGTCTTTTTATACCAGGTACTAGGTTTCTAAGAACATGTGGGAGGCAAGAGTACAAAGGCAGAGATTGCTGAGATATTGTGATTAGGGTTTTGGTAATCCTTCCTTAAACCCCCAGCACTTCCTCCCTTAATGGTTGGAAATCGATACTCAGGCCTTCTAGCTAGTGCAAAATGAGACCACGTGGTGCTCGCCATGGTGCTGGGACTTGGGAACACAGTGGATTTGCTTGGACTGTCCAAGACGACTCTGGATTAGCTTATTGCTCTTCTGCAAGAGAAGAAATACTAGGGTCCCTGGTCTGGAAACGGTGAATTCTTGATCTGACTGGTCCTAATTTAATACCTTTTTGAGTCTCAGGGCTGTGTAACTCAGTGCCATTACCGGAAACAATTCCCATTTCTTCATTTGTTTCAAAAGGCCCATTTATCACAGGCTTTATGGAACAAACTCATAGTAATTGACTTGCTGGAGAATTACTTTTAAAAAATATATAATGTATGTTATATGTAAAAATACAGCATATAACCTTTTTTTTAATACATAAAGAGGTTTTTAATTCTCAGTCTCCAACAGAAAAGTCACATTTAATGATTTTTTAATATCTTGATTTTAAAATCATAAGACCAGATATATCATTTAACTTCAGTTTTTTCTTTTCTGACAGTCTTTTCCTTGTTTTTTTCCAGGGCCATTTGACTGTCCTTATATTTAGGTTTTAAAAAATTGCATTTTTGACAACTTTTACCAGTCAGGCAATACACAGAGGACAGAAAGCTGTGATTCTGTCATTTGTTGTTTAATCTAGCTTAGTGACATCCCTTTTTCTGCCTTCGGGTGTGTGCATGTATGTGCATCTGTGTGTGTATGCATGCACGCATGTGCATGTATGTTTGAATATTTAATTTCATGGATATTTGCTGCAGCCCTCCTAGAGTATTTCCAATATACGTATATTTACATCACCTCTTAATTTCCTTTGCTGCAGAGATAGTGGTGTTATCTTTCCTTTCTTATCTATAATTCTCAATTCTGTCTTTGTCCTAGGGATTGTCTCTACTGATAAAATAAGAATTTCAGGAAAAATCCATGTTTGAAAAGTATGCCTTCATTCAGATAACCACATGATATTTTTGGCTTCGCGGTGGCCTTGTAGTTGGTATTGAAGTCAAGATGTTTTGTCTCTTTCTTGTATTGGTCAGTTAGATATGAACTGGGAAATGGTTTCTTTAAATGGCATTATGGAGAAGTCTCAGAGATTTTTTTTAATAGCTCCACTGAGGATACTTAAGAACTCATGTAATTTTTATGAGAGAAATGTTTGCTTTTCACCTGCACTTTAATTCAAAAAATCAATTTTGGGGTTTTCCCAGTACTCATTTTCAGAAAGTATTTTAAAAATTATTTTCTCAATTCTCATGTAACTTTTCAATTCAGAAGGCAGCTAGAATGAATGAATGAAAAAGAGCATTCAGAATCTCATCTCGAGGCCATATGTATGAAACCAAGTTTATGTGCTTGACCTCTGGGTGCTGCTATGGGGAATCTGCTATTGAAGATCACTTCGAGTGTGGTGAACTTGAACTATCGCTGCTACGTGTGACACTGTAGTATGAGGTTCACTCTAATTATGTTAAGAAAGGGCACAAGTTTTGGCCTTTGTTCTTGGAAATGCTTTGGATTAAATTTTGTCTCAATAGCAGAGCCACTAAAATGACATACAAGTGGGGAAGATGTGGAAAGGCGTACTCAATTTAATGGGATATGCCCTTTGGTTGATTTTAGTAATTAAACACAGGCTTCCCTTGCCCTCCACCCCCACCAACTGTTATGGTGAAAACAATGGGAATTTAATAATAAAAATGAATACATTTATAACTCTATTAACATGAAACATCTAATAGTATTACAAATATGTTAGTTTTCATCTTTGCATCACTTTCAAGTATTACGTGACAGATTATGAAACCCAGAATTGCTGGTGGTTTCAGTTATTGATCGCCTTTTGTGGTTAAGTCACTTCATGGTCTCATCCTGAAATCATCATAGTTTCTCTGGCATCTGTGATAGATCTGTGTTCTTGTACCCATATGCTCTGTAAGAATGTACAGCAAGTTACTTCACACTCAGAATGGTCATTGCATGTTTGCTCACATAGCCAGTGGTACTGTAAAGATATTTACAGTCACTATTGTGGTATGCTACTGTAAAGCTTTGCTTATAAATTTTTCTGTTGAAGAAAGATAACTTGAAATCACTCTAAGTTCTCTGGTATGCTTCCTTATCGTAAGGAATTCATTTATTGGTATAATCACCATAAGTAAACATGGTTCTAGAGTTGACTCTTCCCATCTTTTTTCTTTTTCTTTTTGCACCTTTGTTGCCTGACACCAGAAAGTTAGCACTGTTTAGTAAGCTTGCCCTTAGACACTCATGGAATTTTGCATAATGATGACAAAAGGATTTAACTTTGTATATACTTGGCAGTTTTATTTATTCATTCATTTATGTGTGCATTTTATAATTATTTGGTGGTTTAGATAATACAGAGAAGAAATGGAAGTAGATCTTGCTTTTTAGGGAGCATAAGTTTTAGTAGAAGTAGGACAGATACATAAATAACAGAAATGCAAAGTAGAAATTAGAAAAATATAACAGCCCGGCCGGGC